AAGCATGTATATGGGTCACTAAGGCCCCATAAACATGAAATGAACATATTAGGCTCAACAAACATGTATATGGGCCACTAAGGCCGAAATGAAAATGTAATGGATATATTAGGCCCATTATTTTGAAATTTACGTTTATGGCCCAAATGTATATAAAATGTTATTTTTGGTCCATTTTTATAGAGATTGACACTTTTGACCCAAAATATATAATAAATGATATTTTTGGCCCATTGTTGTAAGGATTTGTATTTTTAGCCCATTTTTAAATAAAATGACATATTTGACTAAAGTTTTATAAATATGACATTTTTGGCCCATGATTATAAAAATTTACATTTTTATCCCACTTTTCATAGGAATTACGTTTTTAGCCCAAACTTTGGAAAATTTTCATTTTTAACCCATGAAACTGTAGGTTTACATTTTTGGACTCAAACTTGAGTCAAATGATGATTTACTCCTTAAAATCGAGATTTTTACATTTTTGGCCCACTGAAACCGAAAAGCCCATTTTTATGGCCCAATGTTCAAAAATTTACATTTTTGGTCCCTTTTTACCCCCAAAAATATCATAACAACTCATTTTTGTATAAAAGTGACTCTTTTAGTCCTTGTAAAACCGAAAGTGTCATAAAATCTCATATTTTTGTTTATATGTTCAAAAATGGCCCTTTTTCAAGATTTTTGTTTAACTTCTTATGGATCTTCACATGTTAAACCCATCTAACTTCATAGTATGTTGTTTGAAGTGTTTTAGTTACGCATATCACAACTTCTGGTTAGAATTTTCGAGATCTATAAAGTTTCATCAAATAATCACATCTTAAACCAAGAAAAACACACATAACATGCACAAATACATAAATCTAACACATAAGGACTTGTATCCTCCCCCAAAACAAGATAAAAACAAAAACAAGGGGGTATGAACTCACCTTGCTTTGTGGTTCTCGGTTTGAATAAAAAATGGAAGAAGATGATGTGATTCTCGGCCCTAGCAAGCTCCTTGAGAAGTTTTTGGACTTAGATGGGTTCTAAGAAGCAAGATCATGAAATTATATGAGTTAAGAAGAGATTTTTGAAGCAATCAAGAAACTAAACCATAGATCCAAGTATGAACTTACCAAAGATGATAACCTCAGTGCAAAACTTCTTGGAGATTACCCATAATTCTAAAAAATTTAGAGGAAGAAGGAGGAGTTCTTTTGAGAGAGTTTTGAAGTGCTTGAAATGAGAAATGGAGGTGGGGTGGTGGGAGTCTCGGCCAAAGATAAGAAGAGGGGGAAAGAGAGAGATTTGAGGTGATGTTGCATGGAGATATGAGAATGCCTTGTTACATGGTGTGTAATAAGCTTGGTTATCTCCTAAACAAAAATGAGGTGTCATGTATTAGGTTAATTAATCATTTTCTCTTCCTTTTTTTTTTTGCATATTTGGGCCGAGAGAGGCTAAGAAGAGAGGAAAAGATGGGTAGCTTGGGCCTTACATGCTTGGTCATGATCCTATGTGGCCCAAATAATTAGCTCTCGGCCCATTGGGCTCTTAAGGAGGTTCACGGCCCAATATTGTATAAAGGAATGGTTTTATGGCCCATTAGGGCTAATTAAATTATTTATGGCCCAACAAGGCCCATTAGGGTAAATGGAATCATTATAGGTCCACATGGCCCAAAATGTGAAGTGTTATGAATGTGGGTCCAATTAGAACCCAATTAGGGTTTCTAGGCCCATCATAGTCAAGTTGAAAGTTTATTGGCCCAATAAGAGAGTCCTAGTCCATAATAAACTTGAACCGGGATTTCTAGGGTTTTCAACACATAGTTGACTATAAGAGATGTAGTGAGTGAGCATAGGGCATGATATTCACTTAGAGTACAAGTCATTACACTAGATGAATGTTTACATGGGAATAGAATTTCCTAGCTAAAATGCTAGTTGTGACACCGGTTGATCGTACACATCACGTCCTCTTTGATTATTTTGAAAACAATTTAAAAATCATTGTTAAAACCTTCATTTCATGTTTATGGGGCCTTAGTGACCCATACACATGATTTTTGGGCTTAAATTAAGCATTTCATGTTAATTGGGCCTTAGTGGCCCATATACATGCTAGTTAGGCCTGAGTTATTCAATATATGTTATTGGGCCTATGTGGCCCATATACTTGTTACTGGGTCTCGTACATTCGAATACATACATTGGATTTGAAAACTTAAAACATATACGTAAAACATTATATAGCGTAAGACAATATACTTGTAATATACTGCTCGTGAACAAGTTAAGGATCTAGTGAGACTTGTCGGTTGACACCTTTGAGTGTATGATCGTAGCCTGCAGTTATAACCAGAGTCTCCTGGAGGGAGAGCGGGAGTTTGTGTATAGATCTATACGGAGGACACCCCACACCTGAGTTGTTCGCTACAGCTAGACTAGGCCAGTCTAGGGTGACAAACCTTACCTTCGACAAATCGGTGTTTGATACGCCATGACAAACGAATTAGTCTTTATTAAGCATGGTTGTAACGACTCACATAAAGATCAATACCATCAGAATATTACGGAATACAAATACAAATCGGGGCGACACAAAGCGTACACACACTAATACCTGGTCTTAGGGTTTTAAGACTACATTACTTTTATAATTAGAAAATATCGGATTTTCTGGAGAAAAATATATATTTACACACCACCTTCAATTTACAACAGAAACAAATAGGATTTTCAGGAACTTATTCTTACATATTTTCTACAATGGAAACCACACATGCATTGATACTTGATTTGATACATCATTTTTAAACTCTTTTGTAGAAAATATTGGATTTTCTGGTGTTTTACTATCGATACAAAATTTTCATTAAATTACACTTATGAACTCACCAACATTGTTATGTTGACCGTTTTTCAAAATAACTTGTATTCTCAGGAACTCGTTAAGCGGAAGAATCAACAAGAATATGGATTTTGTTTTGTGTATTGTTAAACATCGTACTATGAATGTTATGGTCATGTAATTTAAAATATTGTACTTGATGTGAACAATGACAGTTGTATTATATTATGCATGGTGATGATGATGTTATGTTTCATTTATATTCATTGTAATGATATTTCAAGATGAAGTCACGCACAAGCCCCCAGACGTTTCTGCCGTCTGATTCGGGGGTGTGACACGTACGCTTGGCCTTCATTGCACTCTTTCATAGACTTAGGGACCAAAATACAATATAATTCAATTATAGGGTCAAAATTAGAACTTATCATTGGAATGTTACATATACTTAAGCTCCAAGGCTTCCTGGAACTCTTTAGGATCTATGATTGGCTTGTATATATCATAAAGGAGGTCAAATAGGGATTTTATTATATGGCCAATGCATAATCCTTCACGCTCTCTACTTAGAGACATCAACTTTTCTAGATCAAAATTTTGTTTTAGGTCTGGTTCAATTCTCACTTTGGGGAATGGATCATTTGGAATATGGAAATTCATGTTCAATAACAAAACCAAGCTTAAGCACAAACAATTTGAAACTTGACCTTGCCAGCCCAACATGTATAGTTCTAGACGTCGAAACGCTCCACTTTGACAAACTCCTAATCCATTGGAGGAAGAGATTTATATGTCCATTTGTCTATAATTTAATCAATATAAAAGCCTTTAAGATTGTTGTATTTCGATCTTGACAAACAAACAATATGATGATTAGTAGTGTGAGCTAATATCGAATCATTAGTAATATAAAAGTAAACAAGCCGAAAAATAATAAATATCGATTGGTCGCAAATAATATATCATATATTCTAATTTAATTGGCTAGTTTCATCCAGAAATCATATACATTCTTCACAGACAAATATGATTATAAGAAAGGTAGATTGAAACTGTCCCTTTATTGGACGAATTAACAGTTGAACAAAAAACTAAAACCAACATGAAAACACAAATTCTAGACTTATAAAACTACATGGAAGAGTCTTACCCTTAAAAGTTTTTACGTTGCTAGATGGCTATCCGTGTCAACATAAAACCCCGTGATTTAATGCATATTATCATTTTTTCAATAACTTTGGAATAACTGATAAATGTAAAACTCAAAACAGGGAATGCATGCTTGCAAATACGATAGAGATAAGAGATAGTAGAGGAAATCTTGAATTTAATGTGGAAAAAATGGAACATGAGATGCCCTATTTATACCTACAAGAGACCCAAAAAATGGGGCAATGATGGCGGTCAGTCACTCACAATCAGCCACATGACAGACACAAGTCTATCTCCAGCTGCAACACTTATATGTTACCAAAGTAGACTCATCAATTATCGAACTGATGGTTATTTCTGATTATTTGAGTCACACTAAAAATAAAATCTCTTCAACTTCTAACGAAGTGCATAGTGTGCCTAAATTGTGTCATTTCACGAACCTCGTGTCTCATGTTTACGGCACGACTAGAAGCACGTGTTGGCTTGCCCCATCCCTTAACCTTCACTAAATCTTTTAAAGATTAAAGACAAGAAAAACCCTATAAACTCACTCAATGTGTTCTCCCTAGTCTACACATGAGACAAAGAAAACTAGCCAACTTGCTAGTGCTTTTATAATATCCATCAATAGATGTACACATTGGAATCATTTTTGAAAAATAAACAATAATTTGAAGACGAAATATAACTACCTTTGATTCTATTTGCTCATAGTAATATCACCGAAGATGGTGAAAATGGTTACCGAATATGGAAATGAAGGACATAAGTTTGTTGACGATAGACGGAGGTGGTGGCCGAAGATGAATTGTGGGGAAAATGGTGAATGAGATATATGAAAACGACGACTCTTGAAGTTGGAGGTTGGGTGAACCAATTTTTAAAATAATCTTAATAAAGCTTTTAAATAAACAAAAAATAATATTAAAAGGGGTAAAATAGTTATTTCATATATATTATTATGGAATAAAAATGCAAGAAAATGAATACCAAAGGGAAAATGTAATTTAATCTTGTGATTTCTATTACACGACCCGTACTGTATCACATATTTCGATTCGATTTGTTCAATTATTTAACTATCAACCACTAGGAGTAGATCTGTCACATGTCTCCGTCTCAGCCCCACATCCTCCGCTACTTTAATGGCCGATCTGATCTGACATTAAATTTATTTTTTCTTGTGGGTCAAAATATTAGGAATTTATAGTCAAGAAACAGTTTAAACTTTTTACTAAATTCTCATCCATCAATCTTTATCATCTGTATCGATTTGTTTTCACCTACTTTATTACGAAAAGCAAAACCATTTATGCAACAACTTTGTAAAAAAACAAAATTTATGTAAATCTATCATCAAAAAGTCGATCCATCTTGTTGAGATTACATCTTTTCACCTTTACACGGTTAATCTTTCCAAAATTCACCAAGCATTTGTGGGAAATTACACGAGAATCTGATTGGTAAACTGATGCCCACCAGGTGTTTGTTAAAATGCCTTTACGAGTTCCTTTTTGTTTTACTCTAGTTCGATAAGTTACTTTGTTGGTAATAAAAAGATGGAACATGTGGTCTGTGGAAATATGATTTGTATCTCCTATGTTTACCTTTCATGGGGTTCTTTTAGGGATCATGATTAGGTTTTCAATTTTTTATCAGATGTCCAGACAGATGAGAAAGAGACAAGCCTTTTTCACGACTTCATAAAAACTGATGGATAAATATGAAGTTATACAAAACACTCCACATGCATATTTCTTGTAGGCTTCAGTTTTCGACCTTTCTTTTTGTCTTCATTCTGATAATTTCTCGGAAACTTGAGGGTGTTTTTAGTCTTGCTCATTATCTTTAATTAATAGCCCATGCTTCTTTCTATCTGGAGGTCCATCTACTTCACAGTTTCTTGGAGGCTTTATTAGCTCTTATCTTGAAGCGTTTTAATGGGTGAATCTATGGTGGAAGCACAAAACATTGAAAACAAGGTACATCTTCTTGCCGATTTTGCAATTAGGGTTTATAAACTGGTTCTGTTTGTACAGATTTACTTCAGAAACAGATCAGATTCTTGCTAAATTTACCACTTATTTGTCTTATCAACACTTCAAACATCTACACCTAACAATTCTTGTTTAGATTCCTCTCGATTGTTAACAAGATTCGTGACTAAAACTACTTACAGATGAGAGAATCAGTCGCCTCTCGTGAGACTTTGGGAGTATCGGTTTCTTTCGGTAAGTATGAGAACGATTCACTTTCATGGGAGAAATGGTCTACTTTTTCACCGAATAAATACTTAGACGAAGTCGGAAAATGCTCGACGCCTGGATCTGTAGCGCAAAAGAAAGCTTTTTTTGAAGCTCATTACAAAAAAATCGCCGCCATGAAAGCTGAAGCAGAGGCGGAGGCGGAGCTATTAAATCAACAGAAAGCAAGGGAAACAGGTCCTTCAAGATCAGACGATTATCCACAAGACAATTTCGAAGATACTAAGAAAGAACAAGAAGAAGGTATCGAAAGTAAGCCTTGCGAAAACGACGAAGAACTGCAAGTCGAGATTTCAACAATGGAGGGATCTGAAAATTTTCAAGACGCGAACCACGAAGAAGTTTCTTCAGTAAAAGATGAAAGCTTTGAAGAAGTTTCCATGATTGTATTAAACAACAGTCGTGATAATCCAGAAGAAGCTATTCTAGTAAAAGATGAAACCTTTCAAGATGAATCTGAGCATTTGTTACAATCTCAAACCCCGATAGTGTTAAACGTCAATGGCGATAAGCTCGATGAAGCTGTTTTGGTCAACGATGAGAGTATGAAACTGGTCAAACAACATTTCAAAGTCGATTTAGAAGACCCCAAAGAAAGTAAGCAAGAGACTCCAAAACCAAAAGCTAAAAAGGTGACATTTACGGATTTACTTAACCCATTAACGAAAAAAGAAACCTTTTTTTTTGATAAATCTTGTTTTATTAAATTTATACTCATTTGGATTTTAGGTAAATCCAACGAAATTAGAAATGAAGAAGAAACCAACGTCAATTATACCCAAATCCCCTGAAACATCATCGACAAGATTATTAAAACCAAAAGCAACTCCTACACCCATGGCGTCCACTCGATCATCATCATCAAAAAAAGCAAATGCCACATCATCATCATCATTAAAGAAGACAAATGCCACATCATCATCATCATCAAAGAGCATACGAACTGCTCCAATGTCGCTTCATTTATCAATGAGTATGAATTCTGTAACTTCTGATACAGCTTCTTCTTCTGTTGCTTCATCAAGAAGACGATCTTTATTCATGGAGCAAATGGGGGATAAAGACATTGTTAGGCGAGCTTTTAAGACTTTTCAAAACAGAATTAATGAATTACCCAATGAAATCAAACAGGTATTTGATTATTTTCTATTACAAAACGTTTTGTTTTAATTTTATATTGTAAATTGAGCTTTTAAGATGTTAGTTTTTGAGTTTTGTTTTCGTTTTTTGGAAGATATCAATAAAGGAAACAGAGTCCAAGGCTTCAACTTCCATGGCATCTCAGAAAGAAAATGAAAGGTATTTTTTATATTTTTCATATAAAAAAAAGATAAAATGAATTAATGAGCTTCTTTTATGTATAAAAATATATCATTTTTTTGGTTTTTCCATGTTTGTAAATAAATGTAGATCAAGAAAAGCAGCAGAGAAAATCAATCCTGCTAGAGGGAAATTAGAACAAACATGGAAATCCGAATCATTAGGGTAAGAAAAATCTTTTTATTTATTTATTAATTTTTTTATTACTCTTTTATGTTTATAATTTATATATAATTTCTGTAATAGGAAAAAGGCAACATCATCATCTTCAGTAGTTTTGAGAAGCAATGAAAGAGCCGAAAGACGAAAAGAGGTATTATGCAAAATTACCATAAAGGGCATGAAAAACTATTTCCATATTATTTATTTATTTATTTATTTTTTTGTTTTTCAAGAACTGACTATGGAAATTTCTTTACATTAAATCAGTTCTTCAAGAACTTAGAGCAAAAGTCAAATGCTAGAGAAGCAGAAAGAACTCAAAAATTAATTCAAAATCAAAGGTACACTTTCAAATTATCATATAAAAATATATATTTTTTTATCAATGAAAGTACATTGCTATTTCTTTCACTTAACAAAAATTGTATTAAATATGCATTTTTAGGAAGTAAAAGAAGCTGAGATGAAAAAGCTTAAACAAAACCTATGTTTCAAAGCAAAACCAATGCCAAGTTTTTATAAAGCGCAAGGGCTATCAAAAACCACTTCAGAAAAGGTAACTTCTTTATTATCATGGAAAAACTCCATAAAAGTCCTTATGTTTTGGCCTCATAATCGATTTAGTCTTCCATAAAAAACTAAATTTATGATGAAATTGTAACAAAATTTTGAAATATCGGCAAAAAGTATAATTTTGGACCAAATTTGTAATAAAGTTTAAAATATGAGCCAAAAGTGTAATTTTTAAAAGTGGGATGATTTGTTGACCGGTTAAAAGGGTCAAATTGAATACAATTATCAGTTTTTAGGACTTAATTGAATAAAAAAAACATATAAGAACTAAATCGATTATGAGTCCAAAACATAATTTCCTTAAAAAACTAAATTTATGATGAAATCGTAACAAAATTTTGAAATATGGGTCAAAAGTATAAATTTTGGACCAAATATTAAATAAAGTTTAAAATATGGGCCAAAAACGTAATTTTTAAAAGTTGGATGACCTGTTGACCCGGTAAAAGGGTCAAATTTTGAATACAATTCTTAGTTTTTGGGACTTAATTGAATAAGAAAAACATATAAAAACTAAATCGATTATGAGACTAAATTATAATTTCCTTAAAAAACTAAATTTATGATGAAATCGTAACAAAAGTTTGAAATCAGGGTCAAAAATGTAAATTTTAGACCAAATTTGTAATAAATTTTAAAATCTGAGCTAAAAATATAATTTTTGAAAGTGTGATAACATGTAGACCCAATAAAATGGTCAAATTTTTTGGGACTTAATTGAATAAAAAAAACATATAAGGACTAAAGGAAAAACATAATTCCTTTATTTTCATTGAAGAGTAGTTTGGGTAATTGACATAGTCAAACATTTCTCTATATCTATCCTAAAAAATTTTAGTTCTCATGTAGTTGTGGTTTTATTAAATTTTTAATGAAGCAGGAGGCTATAAAAAATGGAACACAAAGGCGACCCGATTCACATAATAGGTGATATGTCCTTGTGAGTTCTTTAGATGAATTTATTATGAGGATGTTTGTTAAGTTGTAGAAAAAGTAGGGCCCATCAAGTATAGTCTTGGATATTGTGTGTAATGTAATGTCACTGTTTTTGTACATTGTTAGCTTTTAGACTGAAATATGAAGGAAAATCAGCCCAAAACTGAAAATTGTTTACCCTTGTTTCAACTATATCGGTTTAAAATTGGATTGAAATAAGAGATAAACCGAGATTGATTCTAGTCCTAAAGTGTTTTTATTTCTTCAATTGTTATGTATTTCTAGGTGGTTTTTATCTTAAGGGTAGATTCGGTAATTCGTACCCAAAAAAGGTGTGTTTTCATTGTCGCTCGTATAATTGTGTTTTTGTTTTGACCTAAGAGCAACCCCTTGGTTAAAGGTGAACAAAAATTATTGAATAAAATTACATAATTTGTCACTAATTAAGTTATTTTTCTGTTTCGTAACAATATTATATAAACGTTGAATATTACGTTAATATAAAAGTTTAGAAATTATTGAATAATATTACAGAATTTTTAAAACATGGTATCATTGAACAACACTATCTAGAGGAAAAATTCCAAACTTGTAGGTATGGTTGCTATATGGGTAATCTTGGTTGGGTAGTGTAATTTGCATTTTGATTTGTGATTATATACACTAAAATATTTATTAAGGTTTAAATTTATAAAATTGATTCGTAATTGGACTGAAACACATTAGACAGTATATTTAATCGTTAACTTTGAAGTAGAAAATTAAACTATTAATTAAACCAAAGACAGAAAAGTAAATTGAGAAATTGTTTAAATTAAACTAAACTTAAATTAACAACCAGCAAAGTAGCAAACGAAAGCAAAGAATTTGATTAAAACATTAATTTTAAAGCACTCCCGCTTAGATATTGAATTTCCTTCTTTTCTTATTGTTGATTTATTATAATTACAACGGATTTATATTGTTAATTACTAATTTCTATAATGGTTAATTATCTTGGTCTGATTAACTAATACTATTATAAAAATAAATAGCATAATGGTCATGCAAATAAGTAATTAAATAATAAATTAAATGTTTGAATTATGAAAAATTTGATATAGTGATTAATATGAATGGTTGTGAAAATTATAATGTTATTTTACATATTAAAGTTCATAATTATATCACCTGATCTTTGGATTTGATCCATCTCCGGTCCTAACAATTTATTGACATAAATTGATTAAGATACAAGTTAATGTAATCAGATTGGTCATCGAGACTATATAAAACTCAGTTGTAGGTAATAAAAATCGAAACTTTGATACATAATGATTTACGATCAAACAAACATAATAAATAATAAGTTTTATAAATCAAAGCTAACAAATCAAACATTAGTATTAAAAGTTCATCTAAATCTAAAGCAGAAACAAAGAGTATTAGACCATAACCATTGCTAAGAAACATAAAATAATCATAAACGTATTGCTAAACATGATAACTAAGCAAACCGAATGACTAATGTTGAATCCACACTTTGATCTTCAAAACTACACTCCAATTGTGTTATTCAGCTTCAAACTTCATTTTGAACTTTTATTTTCGTAATATAACTTGTCTACCAAGTTGTTGTATCTCAGCATTATGAGGAGGACATCTATATATAGGCATTTAAAAACCCTCGGATTTGCATCGCTAATGGTCCAAAATCGGGCCGTGAATTCTAATGTTTCCGCGTCGTGCTCAACTTCTGAGGCTTGGTCGTGGTGCGTTTTCTTTGATTTTTGGCCGTTTTCAATTTTTGATCCTTAATAGCTTCATTCAGCTCCAATCCTTTCATTTTACTCCACAATACGAATTTTATCTATATTTATCCAATTCAAAGCATCATAGTATCATTTATCTTTAAATATAACACTTAGGCTTACTATATTAAGATAATTTCATAATATATATATATATATATATATATATATATATATATATATATATATATATATATATATATATATATATATATATTGTAAGGCCCACGAATTCGAGTTAGAAATTTTAAGGAATTATAAATTATATAAATTAAATTTATATTGCATACATGTTTTATGGACAAATCTTATGAGCTTATAATATTTGAATAAAACTAATGTTCTAAAAAGCTCGTCATGGCTCCGCCATGGCGCCATGGCTTCAAGGCTTGTACTTGCCGCTAAACTTTACCAAAATGTTGCCTTAACTCATATATGTGTATAAAAATGAATAATAGTTGAAAATGCATATAAAAATAATAATTATATAAAAAATTGTCGCCTTAAGTCACGCCTTACAAACGACGTGGCTCGCCAAAGCCTGTAAAAGCTTGAGGCTTGACATTGCCGCCAAGTCACGCCTTATATTATTTAAAACATTGAATAAAACATTATTATTATAAAAATTAACAAATTATGTCAAATAATGTTCAAAACAAAATATTATTTAGGATAAATAATCTTGACGAAAGTTTTAATAGTCGCGATGATGATTCTGGGGATTTATGGAACACTTAAATCTGATTTCGTATGAAGAAGGTACGATTGTTTGAAGTTTTGTGTTCAACCCTATATGACAAAGTGTAATGTAAATAGTGAGTTGGAGAGGGGTTGCTTATTAGCCGAAGTAATCTAAATGAAAGTTGTAGTAATCATAAAAGCGAGAGTGTGCATATAAAGAACGCCTAAATCTGTCTTCGTATGACGGTATGAGGAAGTTATGATTTTTCGAAATTTTCATACCAAGTCCTTAGTTTGAGTTCAGACCCACCCGGGAGTGTGCTCCAATCCCTCAAACCAAGGCTCTGATACCAACTTGTAACATCCCAAAATTCAAGACCAAAAAATTCATTTTAATTAAGTTATTATATAAAGCCAACAATATAAAAACATTCATAATAATATCTCATATCAAAACCAAAGTGTCAATAATCAAAACATATTATCATAAAACCATATCAGAGTGTAATCCCAAAGATCTCATGTGCGGAAAACATAGTGTGATGCGCTGCGATCGAGCCGATTCCTTTCCTTTGAAAATGAAGTACCTGAAACCAAAACTGAAAACCGTAAGCACGAAGCTTAGTGAGTTCCCCCATCATACCACATACCACATAATGCCTGTCCCTCGGTATCTTTCAACCGGTATGTGTCTGGCATAACTGGGAGCTGGGCTCCCCTTCGGTATCTTTCAACCGGTAACCGGGAACTAACCTCCCATTCGGTATCTTTCAACCGGTAACCGGGAGCTAACCTCCCCTTTGGTATCTTTCAACCGGTATCTGCCTTCGGTATCTTTCAACCGGTAACTGCCTTCGGTATCTTTCAACTGGTAACTGGGGACTATTTCACCCCTACCACTATCATATCATAAGCATACTGATCACATGATAACATATCGTACACATACTGATCACATAATAACATATCATAAACATACTACTAGGCATGCATGGGTTCTGTCCACCCCTTCGGTATCTTTCAACCGGTAACCGGGGACTATTTAACCCCTACCACTACCACATAATAACATAAACATACTGCTAGGCATGCATGGGTTCTGATGACCCCCTTCGGTATCTTTCAACCGGTATCCGGGGACTATTTCACCCCTACTACTACTAACATGTATCACATAGCATCCTAGCACACAAACATAAAAGATAATGGCATACCAGATAATTATCACAAAGACAATCATCAACAAACAACTCCTACTAGTGGGCCGGCATTGTGGCCATAGACCCACTTCTACTGGAAGGTAACTCACCTCACACTGCTGAAGTCCCGTTGACACAATCCCAGCTGCTGGATGACAGATTCTCGAACTGTCAATATCAAACATCACCCAGTTAATAATTAGGTTCCAACTCATAACCATAAGTACATACTTAGGGTAAATACTACTTTACCCTTAACTTAGCTTTAGCCAAGCCCAAGGCCCAATTTAAAGGCCCAAAAGTCAACTATGAGTTAAAGCCCAACATATGGCCAATTTTCCAAATTGGGCCCAAACCTTTACATGGTCTTATTTAAAGGCCCAACCATCTAGTCCAGTCCAAACATTTGGCATTTCTAATGGCCCAACATCTCATAATCATGAAGGCCCAATTATGGCCTATCTATGGCCCAATTTTCCAAATTGGGCCCAAACCCTCACATATGGGCCTTACCCTAAAGCCCATCTAAATATTCAAGTCCATATGATTATTCTTAGATGGCCCACCAATAACCCAATCATCAAGGCCCAATAGAAAGGCCCAACAATAAACCTAAGTGAAATTAGGGTTTCACATAAGATGACAATTAGGGTTAAGTGTTTCTCACTTAACCCATTAAGGACTTAATCCATTAAGTCCATCACTCTACTAGATAAATCATATGGTGTGATTGAGCTTAATACACAATTCCATTCCAATGGCCCAAATGTGGGTCCCGATAAGTCCAAGCCCATAAATACAATATTAGGGTTTTCTAAACCCTAATTAGGGTTTCCAACCCCATCTTAGCCCAATAGACCCAATAGCTGGGTCTTTTGATCAATTAAGGTTCATTAGGCCCATTAGGGTTTCACTAGGCCCACTAGTCACATGTTTGGGCTTTTAGGTCAATTAGGGCTTCATTGGGCCCATTAGGGTTTCATTGGGCCCACTAGGGTTTATTAGGCCCATTAGGGTTTTAGTCCCTTTATCCAAACATCCTAAACGAGTCACAATACAAACTAGGCACACCACTACCCGACACGGCGGCCGGTGGCGGCAGGAGGCGGTAGCCACCACCATACGGTGGTGGTTTTGAGCTTTCTTTTAATTATTCCACTTTCTAATTACATTGTACAAATCTTTAATCCCAAAATAAACACACACTTAAGAGAATAAACACACACACAACCACCTTTTGGTGGCCGACGGTGGTTAGAGATGGCAACGGGGGAGGGGAATACAGGGGACCCCAATCCCCATCCCCATCCTCGAGTTCTCATTCCAATCCCCATCCCCATCCCCACCCCCAACGGGGACTGGGGATCCCCAGTGGGGAATCGGGATTTTTTTTTTCTTATTTAATATGAAAACTTTTACGTAAAGAAAAACTTTAAATTTCAATTTTACCAGCACAAGTTTAATGATTTTACAAAATATAAAAATATACATAGATTGCATAAAAGATATAAACAAATTTTCTACCAAATTTAAATAAATACATGAA